TGATTTCCGTACGAGCACGAGTAATTTCTTTACATCTTTCTTTCACTCTGCTTTTTTCTTTTCTCTCTCGCAGACAGACACGCACGTTCTCTTTCACTCTCTCTCTCTCTCTCTTTCTCTCTCTCTCTCTCTGTTGCTTCCCGTTCACCGCGTGCTGATAATTATTACAGCCGACGTGAAATTTCCACGCGTGTCGCCGAAAATAGACAGCCGGAAATCGAAGAGCCTCGAATCGCGCTTCACGAATTTGAGAAATCAATATCGACGATGATTTTTAATAGCTAATCGAACAGCGACAGATCTCGCATGGGATAATTTTCTTCGAGTCTCTTCGATTCCGCCCTTAGTTTTCTCAGCCAAAAAGATCAATCTCTCGCCGTCCAATTCCTCCGTTTCTTCTCGCACACACATCGTTTCTCTCTGTATTTACAAAACAGCGGACTGAGCGCAGCAAACGCCTCCGTGTATCCTTGTCGCGTATCGAGCCGGAAAAACAACAGCCGTTCGACTCGTTGCGCCAATAAAAATCGCGTACGTTTTCATACCGATCCGAAAGAACGATCCTTCCTACCCCTCGCCCTCGTGTCTCCGGCTGAAAAATAACGACCGAGCGGGCAACAACAGCGCAGCACGGCGATCGAGCGCGGAAGGATACGCGGTACGCTTGAAACGAGACAATAATTAACAAAAGAGGAACAGTGGAAAAAAAAAGGGAAAAAAAGAAGAAGAAACAACCGTACGAACGATCTCGTTGGCAAAAATAAATCGCATTCTCGCTCGTTCTTCGCTCCCTCTTTCTCTCCTCTCTTTCCATCTGTCTGTCTGTCTATCTATCTATCTATCTATCTATCTGTGTCTCCCTCTCTCTTCCTTTTCATTTCTTTGTTTCTTCCAATCGCGTGCGCGATTCTTCTCGTCTCTATCCTTTGCGAGTTGTCTCGGTAAAGTAACAAAAACCAAAAAAAGAAGAAAACTATCGAGGTGTCGCGGTGAGTTTTATCGGTGAAGGCGCGTCGTCGTTCGACTTGCTGCCAAAAATCGAGATTGTACTTTGTCGAAAAAGTCTCTATCGGATGATTCGTTCAAAATAGATACTCCATTCTTTCTCTCTCACTCTTGCTTTCTGTCTTCTGTGCCACTTTGGACATTCTCTCGCGTTTCTTTCGAAGCAGAACCGCTGGAGAAAAATTCAAATTCAAAAGTGTCTTTCTTTCCCGCTTCCGTTCGTCCTCGCATCAGCGACGGGGCCTCGCGACGACGAGCCGAGACCAGCGGCACTCGGACACGAAGCAGCACCCGGGCAGCACTCCAGCCAGTTGAGCAAATAATCACAGAAACCGTGTCACCGATAACGCGCGTAATCCCGACACGAAACGTCCGGCTGAGTTCGCGAACCGTCGCCTAATGAAGCCGTATTAATCACGCGGAGAAATCGGAGGAAAACGACGACTCTCGCCATTCTTCTCTCTCTCTCTATCTATCTATCTACCTCTTTCGTTCACACATCCTTTTCCTCGTTTCAAATTTTCGTGAGAGAAATCCACGAAATAGGAGGAAAAGAAAAAGAAGAAGAAGAAAAAGCAACGCCTTAACGAGCCCAAAAGAATTGACTCGGTCAGGCACTGTTGTAACGTATCATTAGCGGAAGCGAGACGACGTATCACGGAAACTAGCCGCGTTCCGAAACGTTAAACACCTTCTAACGAGCGGCTCGCGCCGTGATCATCGTGCCGCGATTTGTCGACCGTCGGGCCCAGTGCATCTGTCGCTCACACACGCTCACGCACACACACACATACAACACACACCTATTCCGAGGAGGTGCTCCGTTTTTTCTAGAAACCCCAAATAAAGTCGTCGAAACGATCGCGCGCCGTCTGTTCGAAAGGATCCGGTCGACGATGGTAATCGGCGTTCCGGTGACCGCTTAACGAGCCGCTTTACGATTTTTTAAAACACGCCGGAGACACGTCGATTCGACGGGTAGAGAAATCGGGGGAGAGAGCAAGGTGGAACATCACGTTGTCCAGCGGGCCAAATTCGAGACACTGGGGAAATGTATCGAAGGGACGGTCCTCGAGGGTCATCGCGAGACAGAGTCGAACATTTCTGACAGAAAAATTTTACGTTGTCAAGGCCTGTCGTCGATCCTCGTGTTTCCACGCGCGCGTTCAAAGGTGACACGGAGAATTGAATTTTACTTTAATCGAGACGGGCGGAACTTTGCAGCGCGCGTTCCACTGAACTTTATCCGACGAACACGGGGCAAAGGAGAACACGCGACTCAGGTGATGGCAGAAAACGGAGAAATCGAGACAAACAAGAATCTCTGCGAGGACATAAACAAGAAAACCACGGGAAGATTGGAGAATCGAAAGGAAGATACGACATACGTACGATCGAATGACAAACGACGATCACACTTCAGAGAATTTTTCGACGCCTGAATCGGCCTAAATTCTGATCAGAGTAGTATTCCTTCTTCGAAAGGAACGAAGGAAGGAAACGAGTGACGGTGTCCCGCCACCGCGACGCCGAGAGAACGACGCGTAACATTTCCATCGCGGAAACGCGCAACGCCGACAGACGTTGCGGGTCTCCTGGCCAATCGCACAGCGAGAATATCGATTCCGCGACGTGGCTCTTCCGGCTCTCCTCCGGTGGAAAAACAAACGTATTGCCACGGACCGGGCGGATCAGCGCGCGGCGAGAGATCCATTTCTCCAACTTTGATCATTCGAATTAAGAATCGGACGACTTTTTCGATTACCGACTTCTTCGGGAGAGTCTTCGTTCGCGAGGTACGATCGGAAGCAACGAGCATGTAGATATATCCTTGTTCAGATCTCGTAGATAACGAGATAGCGAGCGAGCGAGCGAGCGAGCGAGAGAGAGAGAGAGAGAGAGAGAGAGAGAGAGAGAGAGAGAGAGAGAGAGAGAGAGTGCAGAGAATGAAAAAAGAATGACGAAAAGAAAGAGGGGCGAGAAAGTGCTAAAAATGATACAACCGATTCGAGATGATACAACGAAAAGAAAGAGAGAGAGAAAGAGAGACGAGAAGAAGAGAGCGCGCGACCGGTGCCCGGCGGCGACGAAAGACGCAAAAATTCTCGCTCTGTGCGATCAGCCTCCGGGCAACAGAATCAGCTAACGATAACAATTTTTGATAGCGATGTTAATAATAATAATAATAATAATAATAATAATAATAATAATAATAATAATAATAATAGTAGTAGCAATAATAAAGAATAATAATAAATGACAATAAAGACGAATAATGAAAATAATATAATAATATAATAATAATAATAATGATAATGATAATAATAAAATCGTAACAACGAGAAACAATAATGACAGATCCCTATTGTCGTTTTACAATAGTTTTTTTTTTTTCTTTTCTTCGCGAAACGATGCTTCTTGACGATACATGTCACAGTAACGTAATTACATAGCTACAATCTCTCGACGTCGCCATAGATTTTTCTCTCTTATATACATAGACTTTGTATTTATATATATATATATAATTTTTTTTTTTGTATGTATAGAGCTTTTCATTTATTTATTTATTTATTTATTTATATATATATATACTTACTCTATACAGAAGGGGTATGTCATTGCGAGGGTAGTTGTTGCTGTCGCTAGGATTCGGCACACGTTTATTTCTTTTTTTTTTTTTTTTCTTCCCCGACACGCGTGTTTTTCCCCGTGCATTTCACGCGTGTCTTTTGTCTCTCTTTGCAATTTGTCCGTCTTTCTCTTTTCCCTTTCGTTCTTTGTCTTTATCGCGTCGTCTATATCGTTCCCTCCTTTGCTCCTTGCTCCGTGTTTCCTCTCTTCCTCCTCCTTTCTCTCTCTCTCTCTCTCTGCAGTTTCCACCATCCATTCCCAAGCTTCTTGTCTTCAACAACGACGACGGCGACGACGATGACGATGTCGAAGAGGAGGACAACGACAATGACGACGACGACGACGACGGGCAAACGAATGAAGACGACGATACGCGATCTCACTTAACTTACTAGCTTTATCTAGTACATTATTTACAGTCCATATTTACTTATGTTACATCATCCGGCGGGTTTGCCTCGAACAAATCCCGCGCGAATACACCGCTCTTCGCCTCTGGCTGCGTTTTTCTTTCTTTTTTTTTTCCCGTTTCCCTTCGGTACGGCCATCCGTCCATCGATCTCCTCGTTCGAGGACGAGTCGATCCTCGCGGAGGAATCGCGGCGGCGGCGGCGGCGACGGCGTCTCTCGTCGTTCGTCGATGCACCAAGAAGAAAAAGAAAGCGTTCCTCGCACTTTTCCCATTTTCAAACGTAACCCTTTTTCTTCACCTTTGAACCGTCGTGAACCGAGAACAACAACGACGATCACGACGACGACGACGAGGACGGTAACAACGACGCGCAGCAGCGTCTCTTATTCTTCGAACGAACGAACGAACGAACGAACAGACGGACGGAACGTGCCAAGAACCGTTGACGAGAACTGCGCACTTTCGACACCGGGATATCGCGCGGTTAATAACGCCGAGAAGAACGAGACGACGATCGCGGCCGCGAGATCTTTCCTTCCCGATCGAGGCGTGTGGAGAAGGAAACGTGTAGAGTCAATTCGATCGAATTCGACGAATCTTCGTGGCGGCGATGATTACTGCTGCTGTTGCTGCTGCTGCTACTGCTGCTGCTGCTGCAGCTACGGCGACGGCGAAGACAACGTTGGCGTATCCCTGAGATTCTTTTAGCCGATCGGCGATTATCGAGAGCGTTTGGACGGGCGCGGTTCGAATCGCGCCCAACAACAAGCCTCCCCGTTGGCTGGCTTCTGACTCGGCCTCGTTGTACCCCGTTGAATCTCGTCCAAGAGACGGAGGAAAGCCTGGCAGGGGTGGCAACACGCACCATTACGACGACGACAACGACGACGACGACGACGCTACTAGCAAGATTGATTGGACTAGGAGCGAAAACGCAACACGGCTGACGTGACGTGACGTGACGAGGTGTTGTTGTTGTTGTTGTTGTTGCTGTTGTTGTTGTTATTGTTGTTGTTGTTGCTACTGCATCGTTGACTGGCCACAGCTACTACGAGGTGGTCGAGTAGCTGCCGGTGCGCGCCTGCAGGTAATGATGATAAAACGGAGGGAGCGTCTCCGGCGGCGAGGAAGCCGGATTGTTCACCGAGTTCTGAGAAGTTATCGACAGGCCCAACGGGGGAGGCCCGGGCGAACGCTAGTGAGCCGCTGCCAGCGAATGGGCCGTGAGACCCTGAGGACTGAGCATCGGAGGACTGTGGCTGTGGCCCATCGGCGATCCGTGAAGATGATCTTGCGGATGATATCCCTGGTGAAGGCCAGGTTGATTCTGGTGTCCAGTCGGCACGCCCTCTATGATCCCGTCGCCGAGCGTGTTCGGCGGTGTCATCCTCTTCTCCTTTTGCCGCCGGTTGCAGAACCACACCCTCACTACCTCTTTCTCCAGTTGAAGGCTGTCCGCCAGCGTGGTTATTTCCTGCGCGGACGGTTTCGGCTGTTTGTGAAAGTGTTGCTCGAGCGCGCCCTTCACCGACACCTCGATCGACGTACGCTTCTTCCGTTTCCTGCCTTGGGCGGCGATCTTGTCGATGCTGGTCGGCGAGCCGGTCGTCGAGTCCGCCTCCTCGAGCCACTTCTGCAGCAGCGGCTTCAGCTTGCACATGTTCTTGAAGCTCAGCTGGAGAGCCTCGAACCTGCATATCGTCGTCTGCGAGAAGACGTTGCCGTAGAGAGTACCGAGCGCGAGACCGACGTCCGCCTGGGTGAAACCCAGCTTGATGCGCCGCTGTTTGAACTGTCTGGCGAACGCCTCGAGATCGTCCGAAGTCGGTGTGTCCTCCTCACCGGCGCTCTGATCCCTGTCGTGCGCGTGGCCCGGATGCAACGAGTGTCCGACCGGTGAGCCAGGATCCCTTAGGTTCGGATGCAAACCGCCGCCGGTCTGATGATTGTGCAACTGCGGATGATGTTGATGCGCGTGCGGATGCAACATCCCGTTCATCGTTATCGTGTGGTATTGTTGAAGGGTAGTAGGCGAGGCCGCGCCACCGCTCGGATTGTAATGGGCCGACGGGACGACGGGCGCGTGCCAAGAATGTGGCGAGGCCATGCCCGGCGACTGGTGAGGACCACCGCGATGCGGATGCATCGACTGATCGTTTGCAGCCGCGGCAGCCGCCGCCGCGGTTGCTGCCGCCGCTGCCAGCGGTTTCACGTCTAGTCCAGCGTTCGCTTGGTGCGGATGATGGTGAGGATGATGACTGGCATGGTGCATAGTCATCGAGGTGGCCCAATGGTCGCTACTCGGCTGCACGCTCAGCCATGGATTCGCCGACGAGAGGCTCGCCGTTGGATGGGACAATCCATTCGGCGATGGCGACGAGGTCACTTGGTGATGGTGATGATGGTGATGATGATGCTGCGGCGCCGGCATGTACTTCATCTCGCCTGCATCAGCGGCGCTGCGAGGTGAGCCCGAGGGATAGCCACCCACGGCGATGTTCATCCCGATCGCGGTACCCGAACCATCCAGCTCGGACGACACTGCGGTACTAATCGGCATGTACGTGGTAGCGGCCATCTACCTCCCCTCGTGCAGAGGTGTCGCGAAACCTTCTCGCTTTTTTTCCGCTCGCTTCCACGCTTATTTTCCCTTCTTTCTTTCTTTCTTTCTAAGATTCTCAGACACTTTTCCGATTTTCCTTTTTCTCCGTTTCCTTGAAAATCCTGTCCTTTGGGTTTGCTTATTGATCTACGATCACTACGATCAGCCCTTTCGGGGGAACGCTGCCCTCGCAGGGCAGCAACCCTTTCCTCTTCTTCCTTCCCACGCTTTCTTCCCGTTACTTCGTCGTTCGCACAAATCCCTCGGTCTCGTCGTTCTTTCCTCCTTCTTTCCGATTCAAGTCGCAGTTAGTTTCGCTCCGTTTTTTTTCTCACTTTCGTCAACAATCGCACTTGAAATTTCGCAACGCTCCAATATCCTGTGCGTTTTCGCGTAGTGTCACGCGCAGATCCTCGACAAACAACGAAACACGACGAAAAGAACACACCTGTCCAAGTTCTTCCTGCTCTCGGGCAGGCAAGATCGATCTTTCTCGTCCGACTAGATCGACGATCACCAATCACACGTAGCTAACGCACAGTCCATCGTTCGCGACTACGCACCAAATCCCGAGTGAGGGGCATCGTCGAACACACGAACCATTCGTCCATAGTTTCTCCGAAGGTTGGCAAAGTCGCTGAAAGATCGCTGAAACTTCCGCGGATTTTCACGCGGACGTTTCCCCCGATTCCTCCGAGGAGGGATCTCCTCCGCGAAATTCGGTCGGTTTCACCACCGCGATCGAGTAGTCTTCGGTAGTAGTGAACTCTTGGTTGCTCCAACTGCTTGCTCAAAACTCTCCACACCCCATAGAAGAACGGCGCGCTTCCTTTCCTGTCGTTTCGAGAGTCGTACGTGGCGTACTCCGACGACTCGTGGTACACGACGACTGTACGAAGGTATCACACTCGCGTGCACGGGCTTCGGTGATGGCGAATCACTCAAACGCCGCCGTGTCGCGGTATCATCGCGACGACGCACTCGCGATGGACAAAAGTCCGAAGATTGGGGCGATATACTCACACGACTCGCCCGGCGGTGAAGAACTCGCGGTGGCCCGTCGATTCGCGAGGACGAGCGGCGTATGTCGCCGACGAGCACACGATCCTCACGGCAGAACAGAAGTAGTAAAAGAGCCGATTCACGATTGCTCGCGGTGTCTTGCGTTGCGCGCGCGCGTGTTTTCCTCGCGCGATATCTCCCATGCGAGTGTGTGTATTACGCGAGAGCTTGGCCACCAGTGTGTGTGTGTGTGTGCGTGTGTGTGTAGGTGTGTGTGTATGTGTGTGTGTGGTGTGGTGTGTGGCGGCGTCCGTGTGCGTCTCAGTTTGTGTGTATGTGTGTATGTATGTGTGGAGCACACGCGCGCGAGAGGAGAGACGACAAACGGCTCGAAAAGATCTCGCTCGGGCTCTCTCATGCGTTATGCATGTCGTAGCTGAGAGCAACTGACTGCCTCGCCTCGCAGCTTGCTCGAGGTTCCCGAGGCTCCCGGAGCGTTCGGTGGAATCGAGTCATGCGCGCCACAGTCCTGCACATCCCCACCGAACCCTGCCACTCGCTCTACCATTGGCCCCGACCGCAAGGTGGCCGTCGACGAACGTCACCGTCGGGCGGAACCTGGACCGACCGCGCCTCCGAGGCAGCCTACGCACCCCAGGCGCCACTGCTCTCACCCCGGCTTACCCCTCACCCTTCCCCAACTCTACTAGCTACCTTCTCCAGCGGACCAGCGACGCTGCCGCCACCGCCGCCGCTGCCGCCGCCGCCGCCGCCGCTGCCGAGCACCAAGAGCCACCGCTCGACTACCTTCGTCAGGCTGACGTTCACGCCGCAACCGCCGACGCCACCACCAACGCCACTGCCGTCACACCGTGCAACATTTGCCACCTATCCTATCCTACGGATGTACCACTTTTCCTCCTTTTCCTTGCCATTTTTCCTGTTCTCTTGTCCGATCGCTTCTGCGACACGATTTCTTCGTCGTCTCTCTTCCTTTTCTCTCGTTCGCTTCAATTTCTCTTCCAAAATCCAAACCAAAACAGAGCGACGAAGAATCTCTCTCATCCTGATGTGAATCGAAGAACGAATCGATTGTTTCACTTTTCGCGGCCAGTGCTTCGTCCGAGTCTTTCGACGGCGGATACGCCACGCACAAGCTTCGTCTCTCGTGTTTCGCGTACAACACGCGGTGCAACAGGTGCAGTGGACGAGCGGCGTCGACACCGATCGCACGGCGACGACCCTCTTCTTCTCTTCCTTTTCCTCGACCTCGATGCGTGTGTCCTCCGAGACGTCGCGCGAGAGGATTCGTCACTCGCGGTATCCAACGAAAATCGCACGATCGAAAAACATCGCCGTACGCAACAGGTCTTTCCCCCCCGATCGACGAGGGGGGACGAGGTGATTAATTAGCGGGAAGAAAAGCAGGCCCCCGCCGACCAAGGGGGGGAGGGGGGTGTGGATGTGAACGTATCAATAGGAACGATGGAAATAAAAAAAGGCTGTTTCGCCGAGCGCGAATCAACGGCGCAGTACGTCGAGAGCGAGCTAGAGGGCAAAAGAGAGAAAGAGACGGGGAGCGTGGTTTAGTACATTTAAATGAGAGCCACAGGTAGCAGCATTATGCAGTACGTGCCAGCCACCCCTCGGGAGGGGTGAGTTAGATCATCGTGTGCCCGAGATCTCCCTGTGTCGTACCGTTTCAACTACCCAGCTGGCTTTGCGCCTTCGCACCTGTGGCCATCGCCGTACCGAGGGAGGGCCCCACCGACCGACCAAACCTTTTTCGAATTTTTCTCTCTCTATCTCTCTCCCTTTCTCCATTTCTCTCTTTCTTTTTCTTTAACTTTCTTGTCGCTACCTTCGAACAATTCGTATCGGATCGAAACACACGCGGAAAAGAACACGCACCCGATCGAACGATTCGGGGCAAGATTCTAAAAAGAACGAGCCTTCTCGAGCACCACTCTCGGGGGAGAGGTGGCATCCGAGAAGGAGAGGCGTTCGCTCGCGCATCGAGCGTGAGCACGCACGTCCTCGGGCTAACGGCGCGTCGTAATATCGACTGACATCGCGGAAGAGTGCTACCACCGACGTACGTACGTACATACCTGGTGGATGCCTGTCGTGATTCCCTCGCTAAGTATAGCCGAGCTCCTACCGAACCTAGGAATTTCGAGCGCACCACCGATGCCAATTATCCTCGGCTCTGTCATTTACGCGGCCCATTATTATATGGCCGGCGAGAGGCCTCCTGTTTCACTGGAATTACGAGTATTTTAATGCAGGCCCGCCATTATCGCTTCTTTGCCAACTTTATTACACGCGCCCGCGCGTTCCCCGCGTCGTCGCTACCCCCGCGATTTTGTTCACCGCGTTTTGTTCGCGCGTTTAGCCACTGTTCTCCATTGTTCTATCTGACATCTAGGATTGAAGGATTTCCTACAAACGTCACTGTCAATCCTTTGAAAATTTTTGACTAATTTTCGTTAAAATTTGTTCAAAGCAAACCTTTGCTTTAAAAGGTAAAAATTTCATCACCATGACCATTTCTGATTCGAGGGAACAAACGACATCATGATTTTTCATATGAAGGTGTTAATAAAGTAGAGAAGTTACAGGTGGACTTGAAGAACCATAGTTCCTGTTCTCTCTACACCTTGGACCAGTCTGTAAAATTTTTATTTGCCACTCTCGTAATTCTTTCTTGAAACTTCCCCTTTAATTACAATTAAAATATTGCAATAAAAGTTTTCTCTCTGCCATTTATTATTTACATTCGTTTACTTTCTAAAATCGTTTCAGACACGCACTGAAACTTGACCTGAGAGGTTAATGGAGACAATACTAAGAAACAATAAACGATACAGTTATCCTTTGGTACAAAAAATTCCCGGAAACGTTGCAAATGGACGATCTTGAACGTGACAAAGGTCTCGTTGATTTTCAAATGCTTCGTTCGCGTCAGACATCGACGTATGCAAATGCATCTAAAAAAAAAAAAGAATCCTACGGTTAAACGATTTAACTCGATCTCCCGTAGCAACGTCCCGATAAATTGGATCGTACGTGGACCCCGAGATATGTATTTGCTTAGATCAGGTAGGTAGCGAGCTGTGTGCAACGTTGGTTCTGTGCGGCGCAAAGGGTGAAACGAAGCGAGGACCGCGAAACCGTCGATGCCTTCCCCGGAGGAACGAACGAGGAGAGAGGAAGCGGTCGACAACGACTGCTACGTGAAAACGCTCGGCTACCTGAACGTTTGCTTGCATAATTTAGCCGCTCTTTTCTGACCCAACGACCCTGGGGAGCGCGCCCTGAGACTGCACCTTGTCCCGCGCGCCTCTCCACCTTCGTGGGGTGCGAAAACATTTGTAAAAAACACCGGGACACGGAACCGTGTAGTCTTCCGAGACATCGAGATAGTTCTGTTAGAATTGTACAAAATCCGAAGAATGAAGTTCTACCATATTGAAAAAAAAAGAAAAAAAGAAAACGATGGAAGAGGAAAATGCATTATCGACGACGGAGAGACCGATGGAAATAAACGAGGAAAGAATGAGATGACAAATTTTACTTGAGAGTAAGATTTCTTCATTTATTCAAGAATGAGGTGGTCGCAGATGAGATTTGTTCGTTGACGCGTCTCGTCGCGAAGAAATCGACTGTCAAAGAGTTTAGAACGTACGGTAGGAGTCGTAAAAAGGCATGCAAACCCCTGCACGTGAATGAAAGGGAACGGTAACCAACGTAATTTGGTCGCCTTTATGCCTCGAATGAATATTTTAATATTTTAATATGAAACACGTCGAGGGATTTTACGAGGCGCCGTGGCATCTCCTCGCGGAATCGACGTCATCGTTCGAGCTGTGAACTTTCAGGAACCAGGAGAACCAGCTTGAAAGGGAAAGAAATTAAAGAAGGGGTGGGGGAAGAAACAAAAAGGGGTAGCGCAAAGAGCAGCGTAGGGGAAAGTTGAAATTTACAGAAGGAATAAAAACGAGAGAACGTTTTTGAAGAGGAAAGGAAAAATAGTTGATGAAAGAATCGTTCGATAGGTGGCAGCATCGCGTGGTCTTTTCATTTCCAGAGGGTGGAAAAATCAACCTGGCAACCCCCTTTGCGAACGTACATATAGATCTGGAAGCATGCTCGGATACGCGGTGGTAACTATGCTGCCATCGTGTGGCAGCGAGGGAAACTACCGTTGTCGCGGAGGAGAACCAATGGTAACGAAACACGATCGACCGTCGAGACCGGAAAAAAATCGTACTCGACTCGAAAGGTCTTTCTTTGCATTTTTGAAAAATAAAAACACTGTAATTTTCTTTCTTTTTTTTTTTTGATTCGTTTGTTTATAATCATATCAACTTAATGATCATTAGCGACTAAATATTATAACTCTGTTATTATAATTCTTTTCTCACATGATTTGTCATTTGCTGAACATTTCAAAAACTACTATTATCGCGTGCCTCTAGATCTTTAGGTCTTATTCAAAGAATTTTAGCTAGACTTTTCAATAATACGAACACACTAAGATTACTTTACTGCACATTGATTAGACCTATCTTGGCTTGCTAATCTGGTCACCCTACTACAATACCTACATTGACGCTCTTGAAAGACCGCAACACAAATTTCTACGCTTGGCCAGCTTATAGTGGTGATATCCCATGCATACATATTCTCATAATTACGAATACGTTCTGACCAAATTAAATTTAACCACACTTGAACATCGCAGGAAAATAGCTGACTTGGTTTTTGTCAATAGGATATTCAATGGTCTGGATCTCGTGCCCGAATATCATTGAAATGTTTAAACTTAATGTTCCTTCCTGATCATTCTCGATCATCCACGTCATTAGCTACACATTGAACACCATCGAACATATTATATTACAGCTTCTATAACCCGTATAATCGTATATTCATTAACGCTAATAATGCACATTATTTGATCGATGTTTTTAATTATTCATTTCCATCTTTTAAACGCGCATTACTTAGTATCTCCTTGTAATTTTTCACTCAGTCTCATACCTCATTACATTTAAAAAATTTTTGTAATTGTATCACTTTTTGTATTAATGGGTATTTATCTTTACCCGTGAAAAATGAATAAATCAATAAGTGTTAAATGCGAAAATTAAATATTTCTTCTACGTAGTGGAAAAATATTGCAACATTGTTTTTAATCAGAGTGTGTCTGAAAAGGACCTTCTTGTACCCAACTTTGAGTTTTAAAGGCAATCGATTGAACTTTCACAACTGTAAAAGAACAATTATTTTCATTTAAAAAGCGAAACATGCTTCAAATTTTCAATTTTTCATTTGTTTGCTCATTACGAGTAATTATCTCAGCACGGCCCAAATTTCTAAGAGCAAAGCAACACGTAAGATCTAGAACCGCGAAAGACAAAGAAAAAAAAAAAAAAGACCCAGAGGAAGATCGCGCAGACTGCGTGTTTAACGTTTCACCAAGGCGAAATCGATGGCACGCGCGTGGAACGATGCGACCAGCGCGAGGAAATATGTCAACGATGGAGGGGAGAAAAAGACAATGGTTTTATATACGGCCAGAGATTCGTGACCTGAATTTCGACGACTACCGATCGACGACGACAAAGCGACCGGAACTGTCGTTCCCGAGAAATTCGGAAAAGGAATTACTTTCCTTTCGCGATGTGGAAAACGTTAAGACGGAAGAACGCAACCAAAAATGAAAGGCTAGGCGACTAGATGGAATTTCCGTCTCTCATTGGCTCGCGTGTCATGAGCGACGAACAGAAAGGGATTAAGCTTGACCGAGATTCGATTAGAACCTAGAGGCGAAGGATCGAATCGTCCTGTGCTAACTTCGTCGAACGCTGACGATCCTTGACCGAGGACTAGGCGACACTCGCACGGGACTTGCCGAAGTACCGGGAATTTCCGAAACCTGCACACTGGTATATACCTACTCCACGATGCTCCAAGGACTCGTAATTGCCAGAGAAACTTCTACGAAGGGATAACACGATCCGATTATCGACGACGTTACGAGATTTCGCTACGACACC